TTTTACTCATTTAGGACTTCAAGATGACGTATACTTCGAGCACACAATCGAAGAAGTAGATATGAAGCAACTTGCCAAGACTTCGAAAGTCAAGGTCTTTCTCAATAATATAAGAGGAAAATGAGAGCATATACTATTATGGATTAGTCACATAAAACTCTTGGATGGTCCGATCATTTCATGTCTTTTAATTTAAAAAAAAAAAGTGTTTAGTGAACGATTTTAAATTTAAAAAAGATCAAAATTTAAACATATCGCCAAGAGATTGATAACAAAAAAGGACGCTTGGCAATGTCTCCCTCCCAAATTTGTGCCCAAAACTCAAATTGGCCACAAATTTGGGACTTGAGCCGATGAGAGCGAAAATTGGAAGTTTGGGTCGGAGTTGAATGGAAAATCGAGAAGGAGAAGGAGGAAACTAAACCAATTGCTCAGAGTTGAGCAAGCAATGTTTTTGAGTTGGGTTGAGATAGTTTTTAGATCTAAACCAATTGTTCGTATTATAAAATTTCTAATATTATGATATTATATACTTTGAGCAACGATTGTTCGTAGTTTGCATTTAAGACATTTTTTTTTAAACCAATTGTTTAGGTTAGATTCAGCTAAATCTAATTTGAGAAAAACTAATGAACAAATCCGGTAAAAAGAATTTCATTTATTTGAAAACAACCCGCAAATCATATAAATTAAATTGGGTTAATCTAATTTTTTATCCACCTCTATTAATGGTGTTGAGAGATGTCACTCAATCAAAGCTATAGATACTGTATTATAGGGTTAAAAAATGTTATTATAAATTAAAGATAACAAAATATTTTAACTATATTAAATAAATTATAATTTTAAAAAAATGCTATAAAATATTTTATTGTTATATCGGTTTCATACTCTACTAAACATCTATTATAGCTATAGAAAAAGCTATAAAAAGTTTCAGACTTTTAATAACATTAGCTATCACGACATATAAAAAAGCGTTATAAAAAGTCTATAATAAAGTTTTTTTTTCCGTAAGTTATTGTATCTATTATTTCTTGTAATGACTCCGACAATCTCCCAAGTGATATTTTCCTTAATAATCTTCTCTTTAGAAAAAAAAAAAGAAACAAAAAAGTGAAACTGCCCGTTGCAAAAATTCCGGCCAAGAAAATTAATCTTTATCATTTAATTCCTAACTCAAATCTAATTAATTACAACGAAATTAATATCCTTCCATAAAAAAGATTTATTTATTTATTTATTTATTTATTTTGACTATTAACGAACGTCTCCAAACATCTTTAAGAAGAGCCATATTAGCTCAGAAATGAGATTAGTTATTATTAGCTTTTGATTTGCATATTTATAATATTATATATAAGTATAATTATAGCTTCAAAATGTATCCTTTATATTTTTTAATATATGTAGAACTTAATATTACATTGATCTTATAATATAAACTTTCTCATTTTCATTATTTCATTAATAATAGTAACACGTCATATATATATATATATATATATATATATATAATATTCACATCACATGTAAAGATGTTTTTATTAACTAACTTTCATGGATTATATATAACATTCATAATAATATGATCCGTAGACGGATCACATCTAAACACATTTATAATGATATGATCAGTAGATAGATTACATCTAAAGTTGTTTTTATTTAGTAACTCTCGTTGAGTATACATATATGTCATAATAGTATGATCAGCAATAGATCATATCTAAAGTTGTTTTTATTTAGCAATTTTAATTAACGGGTCAGTACTGAATGGCCTTTCACTTGAGATATTGCCTGGTGGATCATAGTTGCAAGTGATGAATGTACCACGATTGTTTGTGCATCTAACTTTAGCACATCCAATTCTCACTGAGTTTCTCCAAACCACTTGAGTGTAATGGCCACACACCTTGCCAGCTGCACAAGTATTGGTGCGAGGATTGTAGAATGGCTTCTCATCGACCCACATCTGAACTGCATCAGTGCCTGACATGTCAGAGCTATGCTTTGCAATATTCTCTCCAAATGGTCCGCCTGAGTGCATCAGTTGACAATCATTGATGCGTTGGTTGGCAAATTGTCGAGCAAAATTAGCTACACTTTCGTCCCATCGAACTGGCCCGACACCAACTTGAGCACGAGCTGCATTGTGGCCATTAACAAAGTCTTGAGGCGAGTCTTGAGCGAGAGATGAGGGAAGCATGGCAAAGCTCAGGACATAGAAGAGGAGGGAGAGCTTGAAAACATCCATTATTTGGAGTTGGTGTGGAGAAAATGGGATGGGTATGGCAGTGATTTATAGGCATGAAGTTGTGGAATATTATATGAACAAGGATATTATTACAAAATTTTATTTTTTTAGTTGGTTTAGAAATTTAAAAATGATTTTTAATAGAGTTGACTTATGAATTAAAATGAAAAAATAATTACAAAATTAAATCTTCGAACTATAATATTAATTTTGACTCGATTTTTAATTGTTCTTAAATTTGCACAATTGTGGCAAATGGTCGTAATTCAATTTATAAAAAGAGATAAAATATCGGTATCCCTGTTGTAATAAAAAAAAAGATAAAATATCCTAAAAATTCTTGGAATTTGATTTAGTAACTTGGTTGAAGACGAGAACTTTTAGATCTAAATTATCGAAGATTTCCAAATACAATTAAGAATCAACCTAAGATTTTTTTTGGAACGGACTACCTTGATGATCAAGGTTTTTAAACTCGTGATTCGAATCATTCTATAAGATAACATGATCAAGACTACATGAATAACTCTAATATAGCCTTGAAAGTTGCTCATGGGTTAAAAGAAGTATAATATGCAACTTTTATTTTAATACCTAAAATTTTTGTACTAAAACAACAACATGAATGACTATAAAAGATTGTAACTCTCATGCCCGTCAATGTCACAGTGACCACTGATTAATTGTAACTTGATAATACTATAAAAGAAAAATGAAAATGTAAATATGACTATTGACCTCTTCAAATGACATCTCTTGTGTGTGAGAGGCGGGTGGATTGATGAAATTAGTTATTATTAATCATAACCGACACCTCTCATAAAATTAATTTTGATAAAGATTAACATATATTGTATATTCAGCATGTCACATTATAACACGTGTCATAACATCTCATAATCATATCACGTCACAGACATTTCATAAACATATAGAGTCATATCATTTCATAAACGAATCATAGTCATATCATTCCCTATACATATCATAGTCACATCATTTCATAAATATTTCAAACATATAAAAAATATGACACGTGCAGAACCACATGATACGTTTCATCATACAAACATCTTCTAACATACCAATAGTAAGGTCACTTAGTTGACTAGCTTAAGCTACTGTCACCAATTTATTCTCAATAAAAGTTCGATTTTGTCATTTGAAATCCAAGTCAACCTATTTGAGCCAATGATATAAATTTTGAAGTTCAAACTTCGGCCAAACTATTTTGCTAAATTATGCAATGGTCCATGTGTTAGATTTCATGCCGTTTTTTTTTATTTATTCAATTTTCATAATTTTTATTTTTCTCTAAAAATGGTTACAGATTGATTTCAACTCACCAAAAAAAAATTCTTATCATTTAATTTCTTACTCAAAGCTAAAGAATTACAACTAAATTAATATAATTTGATAAAATTAAAAGAAAAATATAAAATATGACTACTGACCTTTTCGACATCTCCCTAGATTGATAGAAAGATGGATTAGTTATTATTATTATTATTATTTTACTTTTGTTGTATAAAAAAATCTCACATGCTTCAACAATAAATTAAGAAAGAAAAAAAAAGATGAATTGCAAAAACAAATAAATAATGACTTAGATGCAAAGTCAAAGATGAAAATAATCTTATAAAATGAAGTTTGAAACTTCTCCTCGAATGAAATTATATTTATCGGAATTGATTAGGGTAATTCCTAATTTTAATTAAGATTAACCTGAACACGTATCATAACATTAATATAATATATCACAATCATATTATTTCATAAACATATCATATTATTTTATAATTATACGTGTCAAATGGGCCATTGTATAAATTATGTGTCTAATGGCAATTGTATAATTTAAGTATACATATACACATACATATAGGCTAAATTATGGGCCATTTAGGATATTGAATAGGCTAAATTATTCAATTGTCTATTTAGTATAGTCCCAGTATGTAAATAGGCTAGGCTGATATGATAGTTCTCATTTATAATTGTATGTGTTTGCATTTACTTTCAATAGTGGGGTCACTTAATAAGTATTTCTTCAAATATTCGAGCCACGTGCTACTTCTATCCCAATTAAAGGCAAGATATCCCTATACGGCTGATGACAGTATCGCAATTCGAGACCATGTCACATGTATAGTTTGTTACATTTATTTTCTTAGACTTAAGCTAGAATAGGATGTTTTTAATTTAAATGTTTATTTATTTCATTTAGAAGCTCATTGTATCGTTTTAAAGATGTTTTTTGAAAACATGAGTCTATGACCGTGTTTTAAGATAAAGTTTATGTTTTATGAAAAAGTTTAAACGTTTATTTCCGCATATAAATGATATACACTATGATGGCAGTAGCGACTCTAGATAAGTAGAAATTTAGAGTCGTTACATCATTTCCAAGTGATATGGGTCTACAAAGTGTCGATCATTAGTTGACAACGATATGGGGTATCGTTCTCATGGTTTATCATACTGTGTCTTTACTATTAGGGGTAGCTAGTAACTCTTAATAGTGAACTTGTCTCGAATGATAAGGCTTTTCATATGTACTTATGACGATATAAGTTGGTAGTATAAGGTCGTGCCTTGAGATGATTATATGCCATGAGAAGTTTGCGTAGTGGGGTGATTAAGAGATCTCGAACTATTTTTTAGACATGATTTAAACCTTCTCATTTTAATTATTTTATTAATAATAGGAAGATGTACCATATATAAAATATTTATAAGGACATAGATCACAACTAAAGTTGTTTTTATTTAGTAACTCGGACCGGCACTTTTATTTTAGTTATAATCATTCTCAAAATGGCCTTTGACCTACGACATTGCCTGGTGGATCATAGTTGCAAGTGATGAATGTACCACGATTGTTTGTGCACTTCACTTTAGCACATCCAATTCTCACCGAGCTTCTCCACACCACTTGAGTGTAATGGCCACATACCTTACCAGTCGCACAAGTATTGGTGCGAGGATTGTAGAATTGTTTCTCATCAACCCACATTCGAACTGCAGCTATGCCTGATAAGTCGGAACTACCCCATGCAATATTTTCTCCATATGGTCCGCTCGAGTGCATCAATCGACAGTCGTTGATTCGTTGGTTGGCATATTGTCTAGCAAAACTGGCTACCTTTTCGTCCCACTTGACCGGCCCAACGCCAACTTGGGCACGGGCTGCATTGTGGGCATTTACAAAATCTTGAGGAGAATCTTGAGCGAGAGAGGAAGGAAGCATCGTAAAGCTCGAGACATAGAAGAGGAAGAGGGAGAGCTTAAAAAGATCCATTATTTGGAGTTTGGAGTTGTGATACAATGAGTAGAAGTTTGGTGTGGAGAAAATGGGATGGCTATGGGTGTGATATATAAGCATGAAGTTGTGGAATATTATACGAAGGAGATTACTTTATGATTGTGGACTATTCAAAAGCAGAGCATACACGCAACTAAAAATTATTAACTATAATGGATATTAATTATTTGTACATCTATCTAAGGTATCGTTGGTAACCATTAAGATTTCTACCACTTCCAAATATGTCTTTTTTTAGGCTTTTTCTTTTGGGGAAGTTTTCCATTTCCGATTTTTCCTAAAGGCTTTAAGGTTTCCACACCCTTATATAAAGGGTGTTTTGTTCTCCTCCCTAATCAATGTGGGACATCACAATCCACCCCCTTCGAGGCTTAGTGTCCTTACTTACCCACCGCCTAATGTCTATCCCCTTCGGAGAAAGCAAGAGGGCTGACACATCGTCCAATGTCTGACTCAGATACCATTTGTCCGCTAGCAGATATTGTCCTCTTTGAGCTTTTCCTTTTTATACTTTCCCTCAAGACTTAAAAATGCATTTGCTGGAGAAAGGTTTCCACACCCTTCTTATGGAGTGAACAATGTTTTGTTCTCCTCCCCAGCTAATACCGGACGTCACATTATGTCTTTAAACTATATTATTATTATTATTATTATTTATAAACTTTTAATCTTTTAATTTAAAACAAGTTTCTTTTCAACAATTTTTTTTATTTCATATTTTGAATTTAGTTTTTTGTGAGGGATGTTTCAAAGGTAAAAATTTTGTTTTTTAGTTGGTCTAGAAATTTCAAAATGGTTTTTAAATAGGACCATAAATTAAATTTAATAAATGATTTCTAATTGTTCTTAAATTTGCACACTCTTGGCAAATGAATAAGCATAATTATCGGTATCCCATTTGTTGTAATAAAAAAAATGATAAAATGTCCTAAAAAACGGACTTTATGTTTAAAGAGTGTTATGAAACTCTTGGGATTTGATTGAATAAGGTTGTTGAAAGAACAAAATCTTTAGATATAAATTATCCAAGAATCCCAAAAGTGATTAAGAATCAACCTAAGAAAATTTTTGGAACGAATTACTTTGATGATCAAGATTAAGAGCAAAGAAAACTCGTGATCCAAATCACTGCATAAGATAACCTGATCCAGACTACTTGAAGGATTCTCGTATACAAATCTAAACATAAGAAATATAAAAGAACAACCTCATAGCTTAAGTATAAAATGCTACTTTCATTTTAATATTCAAAATGTTGGTACTAAAACAATAACATAAATGCCTATTTATAGCCTTGAAAATCAACTAACGTCCATACAATTGAAAGGTTGTAATCTCATGCCCATTAATACGTGTACGATACAATCTTATTATCCACTATGAAGTCTTGGTAGCATGATTAAGACACCTTATTGCGTATCAAAGAGGGTCAGAAAATTAATAAATTTTGATGTGGAATGACTTAATTTTTAAATTGTCTAATAAATTTTTAATATATAGTCGAATATCATACAAAAATAATTGTGCAAATGCAAAAACGATAAGCCTTCGATGACTTAGGGAGGCTTTCGTCTGCCCTCGTATCCGAACTTTAAAAAATATAAATTATGTACCTTCAATTAAAATATCAAAGGTTCGAATCTTCTATCCATGTTGAACTAGAGGTCAAATGTTCAAATTTCACCTCATAAAATTTAAATAAATAGGTAAGGTTATTAATTATTGTCTCATCTTTCTAAGTTTACTATGTTTGGCCCCTATTTATTTCATGGTCTACTTGCACATACAATTAATACAAAACTTTGAAATGTATTCACTCCTTCAAGCTTCCCCTCAATTAAATTAGATTATAATTAGTTTTTATATTCTTTAAAAATAAAATAAATTTGGAAGACATTGTTCTCTTTGAAGTGTACGTTATTTGTATACGTAGTAATTTTTAGTTCTTTTAAGCCTTTTTTAATTATACTATTCTCACGATCGATCTCTTTCGAATATTGTCTCAGTTCATTCATATATTTTTCTTCTACTCGGATTTCACAAGAAATATATATATATAGTTAATTTAACATAAATAATCAAGAGGTCAGATATTCAAATCTCTGTTGTTGGATATAAAAAAATTTGAGTGCTTGCTGTAGAAATATTATAATATAGGAACGTTCTCGAGTACTATGATGTCCTTGTATGAGTATTTGTCTATATTCACATCACGATAGTCTTCGTGTGACTGCACTAAATAGGGTAGAAATGTCTTCCATGTATACTTTTCAAAATTTTAATTATTTAAATTTATGAAATTCAACTCTATAAAGTACTAGGTAGAGTTATTATCATAAAACTTATTTTATAAACTAAACACAGACACATTAAATTTAAAATATATTTTTAAACTCTATTGTCAAATTTTTTAAATGAATACATTTTCTAAAATCTTAAACATTATTTTAAAAACACAACATTAATTCATTAACTAGAGAAATATTATAGTTTTGTAGGATACAAGGTAGAAAATTTTGTTAAATGTGTCTCCTTGCTAACCGAATCAAGCTCAGTCATGCCTGAGATGATCCGTAGGTGGTGCTATTTGTTGCCTTTTGTTTTAGGGTTTATGAGTGACGTACACCAACACACATTCGAAAAAGTAGATCCAAAGAATTAAGAATGAGAGTTGGTCTTATCAACCAACTTGCCAAGACTTAAAAGTCATGATCATTCCCAATAATATACCATGTATGGATTAGTCCCTTAGAACTCTTGAATATTCTCATTTATTAAGAAAAAATATGTTTAGTGAACTTCTGAAATTGAAAAAATATCGAAATTTAAACGGGTTGTCGGCGCTTCATTGTCAGCAACTATTCAGATAGGTAAAAAGACAAAAGGACGCTTCGTCATGTCTCCCTCTCGATTAAAGTTGATTTTTGCCTCAAAGAGAGACCTTAAACTTTTGGAGAAGGACTAACTTGAACAAAGCTAAGAATCAAGCGATCAGAGCTGCTGAGCTAGTCGACTAGAGGAAGAATGCACGAGCCACCTGCATATCAAAGGTTAAGGATGATAATGTGGCAAATTCAATGAATCGAGTTTCTGACCCATTTGACTATTTTGACCTATTTCAACTATTTAAAACTCGATTTTTAATCTATTCTGGTTCTCATATTTTACCTTAATTTAAGACTTAATTGAGAAGTTTTGTAGAAATAAACATGATTGAAATGTTGTATCATGAATTATGTTCTTCTTTGATGGGGTTTAGTTTGATTATGCATGATTGGTCGGAACCTATATGCTAGGATTGATTTGTTTGACATGTGATTGTATGTTCACGTGATCTTCCCTTATTTTTAAGGTCAAATTAGGTAGAATGAAGTATGATAAGTTAATTAAAAGTACATGATGATCTCATTTGATTATTACGAACATGCCTTAAATAGACGATCGTGTTAGATACCGTATGAGCTTAGATGACTTGTGAAATGATAGATTGCTATTGTTGGGTCAGCTTTCTAAACCCTATCATCTGATTCTTGACTGTGTCATATGATATAGTGATTAGTTTCTTATACTTTGTGAGGATGGTTAGAGGTTCACCAACTAACTCTTAATCGTGTACTCATCTCAAGTGACGTGTGTTTACAAAATGTCGATCATTTGTTGGCAATGATATGGGGTCTCTCCCCGATGGTTTATTTTACTATGTCGTTTCTAATAGAGGTAGCTAGTAACTCTTAATAGCGAACTTGTCTCGACTGATAAGGATTTTCATATATATTTGTGAAGATTATGAGTTGTAGTGATAAAGTCATGCATTGAAATGATTAGTGTTATGAGAAGTTTGTGTAGGGGATGATTAGGAGATCTCAAACTATTTTTTAGGCATGATACATACGTTCACATATTCATTATTTCATTAATAATAAGAAGATGTACCATACATAGAACATTCATAAGGGCGTGGATTACTAGACAGATTACAACTAAAGTTGTTTTTATTTAGTAACTTTCATTCATGACCAATACTTTTATTTTAGTTATAACCTTCTTAGAATGGCCTTTGGCCTATGATATTGCCGCGTGGATCATAATTGCAAATGATGAATGTACCACGATTGTTTGTGCATCTCACTTTAGCACATCCAATTCTCACCGAGTTTCTCCACACCACTTGAGTGTAATGACCACACACCCTGCCAGCTGCACAAGTATTAGCGCTAGGATTGTAGAATTGTTTCTCATCAACCCACATCCGAACAGCATTAGTCCCTGACAAGTCAGGGCTACCCCATGCAATATTCTCTCCATATGGTCCACCTGAGTGCACCAATCGACAATCATTGATGCGTTGGTTGGCATATTGTCGAGCAAAACTAGCTACCCTTTCATCCCACTGGACTGGCCCAACGCCAACTTGGGCACGAGCTGCATTGTGGGCATTGACAAAGTCTTGAGGCGAGTCTTGAGCTAGAGAGGAACGAAACATGGCAAAGCTCAAGACGACATAGAAGATGGAGAGGGAGAGCTTGAAAAGATCCATTATTTGGAGATGGAGTTGTGATACAATGGTTAGAAGTTTGGCGTGGAGAAAATGGGATGGCTATGCAGTGATTTATAGGCATGAAGTTGTGGAATATTATACGAACAAGGAGATTATTTTAGGGTGGTGGATTATTCAAAAGCGGAGCATACACGCAACTAGAAATTATTAATTATAATCAATATTGATTATTTGTGCATCTAAGTTACTATATATAATAATTAATTAAACTAATACTTTTTTCTCGTTATTAATGTTTAAAATATATTTTTTATTCAAATTAAGTTTTTATTTAAGGGTTGAATTTTAAAAACTAACATATTTGTTTTTTATTTTTTATTTTTTATTTATGGGTTTAAAATTTATTTTTTAGTTGGTCTAGAAATTTAAAATTAGTTTTTAATAGGCTACTACTCAATTTTATATTTTCTAATAAATATTTCATTTAGTTCAAAATTCATATTATTATTAATTTT